AAGCAGTGGTGACACATTTCTCTATGGAAAAGTGAGGTTTCAAAGAGGTCAAAGATGGTTTACCAGATTTGGGAACATGTTCCTTAGTGGTGCCATCCTATTCTGTCCGCCATACACCTGTCCGGATGCAACATAGATTTGAGTTTCCTTTGGATAGCCCATTGCTCTAAGAATTACGGCTACTTCTCCAGGCTCAAGAGGGCACCGTCCTTCCTTTCTTTTCTGCAGGGCCAGTTGCCACAGGTGGGAACCATTCTGCAAACCAAAAAATGCAAATCAAGGACGGATATTGAATGAATGATTTTTCTCTTTTTCATATTTAGTCACCATTGAATATATAGATATATATATATATAAGGAAAAACAAATTACTTTCTAGGTCACCTTATATCTACGTGGCCATTCTTTTTTCCTATACTCTGCCATTTTGACTTTCTCCTCTCTTGTCCCCACAAAGTCACAAAATGACAGTCCAACCATTCCTTTCTCAAACCTCAGATGAAGAGCCCTGTAGACAGATTGCATTACCCAAGAGTCCAATGCATAATTACAGAAACATTCCAGACATAATCATACTTACATATATGGATTTGAGCTGTTTGTGCGACTTCTCATCCTTGAAGCTAATACATCAGCCATGTGCTCTATGTCAGGAAGAAATTTAAGAGCGTGATAGTTTACTCTGCACCTTAGCCTGTTGATTTCTGAAGGAACGTTGTCATACCTGAGACCGGAATACCACAAATATTGATTTGATAGAAATTTCATGCATGAAAAGTGAGTATCCAGATAAACAAAGATAAATTCATTAACAAATTACCCAAGCCGATCAACAAAAGGTTTTAGCGCCATTATTTTCTTCTCTTTTATTCGAGGAAGTACATTGTCAATGTAAAATTGTGCTGGTGCATACTTCGGGATGTTCTTGACTGTCCGTCTGCAATAAACTTTATCCAAGAATCAATGACAATTACAAGTTACTTCTTCCAAGAAGGGATCAAAGTAAAATATGTGAGCAACTTTTCCCACCACAGCCGTGCATTTAGCCAGGTTCTTGGGGGGTGGGGAAAGGGAAAAAAAGAGCTCCCCAAGGAACTAAATTTGAGTGGGAATGGAAGGGAATGTATAGGGAAGCTAAGGTTCGGGGAAGCATCTCCATGTTGTATTAGAATTCTTTGCTAAGTAATTTCCTATCCTTTGTTTATTTTTCAATAAACAAAAGCTCAGACAAAATAAAAAAAAATGACTGATTTTTAAACATATTTTCATGGAAGGAAATAAATTAAAAGTTGTCTATAATCCTCTCAATTCTGTGTGCAGCTAACAAAAGCTATAAAAAAAATCAAACTAGAAAAACCAGCTGCATATTGGAACAAACTGACGAACCTTATACTTGTAAATAGCTCTGATTTGTCCGTAAACCAATCAGGAATATCACGAACAATTTGCACATCATTCTTCAGGTAATTAATGAAATGATCTACATCAAAAATGTCCTCAAATTTCCTGCATTGTTTTCATAATATTGTGAAAGAACACAAAAGATGAAAATTTCAAACACGTGTACTAAAAATTTTAATCAGTTTATCTAAGAGGAGTCGAGGAACTGGACCATAAAGAACACAGATGAATAACTAGCATAAACTAGTTTAGACAATCAACCGCAAAGCCACAGTTCAATAGTAAGGTCCTCTAAGTTTTCTACACTTCTATAAGCTCTTTAACATCCTAACCTTTTTCTGACAACAAACATTACAACCTTAGGCATCCACATCACTAAAATTGTAATTTTTGGTCAGGCAATAAAGCTTGATATAGGTAGAACAATAAAAAAGCTTAAAACTTCTCAAGCAGCAAACCAAAGATACATCGACTTAGGGTGGTTGTAATGACTCGATGAGTTGGCAGAATAATGCCACATTGATCAAAGGGCTTCATTTGGTTCATGATTTTCAAACAATCACAACAATGATAATCGATTCTACAATTATGATTAAGCATTAAGAGTCGAGCAACTTAAGAATAAAACAATCATCGTACAGATATTAGATATAAACAGCAAAAGAGCATTCAAGCAGCTCTATTTTCATATGCAGACACTGAGGATGTAAATGGTTGATAAAAGTACATATCTTACGTTTGGTCCTTCCAGATCTGATCTTGCTTTAAAACTGGCAAAATAAGTGTTGCATTTAGTATTTTAGCCACAGCAACCGCATTGCATATCTGCAAGCAAGAAAAGGATGAAGTTAAATCGAAAAGGGAGAAAGGAAAAAGTGTCTTCACCAATAACATTTTAGTTTGGCAGGAAGATATCTCACAGCAATTCTCTGCTGATTGAGACCGCCTTCAGCATGGATGAATATATAGCCATTTGTTTCATTTTCAGGTGGAAGATCTGTCAAAATCCAAAACCTTTCAAAGCATTTGAAGGGTACAAGAAGAAAGGGAGAGCTAAAGTAGAAAGAATACAGTATATATATTCCCAAAATAAACCAAGGTTACCTATGATTTCAGAATCACGAAGCTCAGCACAAGGCTTCCAGGATGTGGTGGCTGAATAAGGATTCTCCCAGAGTGAAGGACGTTCCTTAACCTGAAGCAACGAATCCATTTGTTTAGAAAATGAAGAAATCGAAAAAAGAAGATATCTCTCGAGAACTTACCGGTGGACAATGAAGAGTAATGCCCTCTTTTTCACACAAGTACGGGGAATTCTACAATAAAAGAAAGACAAATTCAATAATGTCCATCAGCAACTACTTGAACAGTTCAGGAACAAAAAAGAAAACTGTTCAACTATTTGCACATTCCAATTGAAATTTTTAAATCTAGCACCAGAACATCTGCAATCATTCACACATTTCAATCGAGCTTCTTAAATCTAACACCAGGAAATTCGTTAGCTCATTCAGGCATCATAATAAGTAGAAATGCAGTGGATTCCCTCCCTAAAATTTAATGGAAACGGGAGAAATGACATTCCTTCCTCATTATCAATCACATAATTGTTACTACGAATCAGATAACAAAGCATAAATCCTCATGAAATGCTTACTACGAAAGGGACGATAAATAATTAAATCAAAATCCAGCAAGAAATGTAAGGCAAAGAGTCAATGGCGAACTGACCAAACGTTTAATAATCGAGAAAACAGCGATCAAACCACCAGCGACTACTAGAAAGACAAAGAAGAGTGAGATCCTGGAGTTATACGGAGAAACCCTAGCATCGTCGCCAAAGTAAGGGCACAGCGATTGAAAACTGAGCCTGGAGTAATAGCGATCACGGATCGAATGGCGATCGCGATCGTCATCGTCTTCAGACTGGCGGTCGGGGACTAAAGGGGATGAATCTTCGTCCCGCTTCATTGGCGAGGAAGTGGCTCTGTTCCCAAGCGAGGTCGAGTGCCTGAGCTCAACCATGGCTCGCTTCGGAGTAGCCAGAATTGTTCAGTCAGTTGTTTGATCTGGTTGGAGCTTCACTTCGTATCAGTTCGTGTCTCTGTTTTCTGAGGAAGGATTTCCAATGTCCAGGTGCAATCGTGGATATCAGTCGGATCAACAACAAGACCTCCTCGACCCTGAAAGGATAAATGTGAAATTACCCTTTTGACTTCGGGGTATTGTTGTCATTCAACACTCCTGGGATCTACAATTAGTTTAACTCTTTATATGCCCAAAAATTATATTTTTGGTCCCTTAATTTTTAACAATTCTTAACTAAATTAATAAAATTATTCCTTATTCATCCCTTTTTATTAATTCCAATAATACTAATTTTTTAAATTTTAATATATAATTTTTTTTTAATCTAAAAATAATTAATATTTTATTTAAAAAATATTCCTTATATTCGTTTGGTATACACCTTTTTTAGTATATAGTTTTTTTAGAAATAGATTTAAGTCATGTATATAAACGTGGTGGAATTGATTTGAAGGAAGAAAGTCAATAACACCCTCGTCGGAGCGTCGTCGAGAATAGAAAAGAATGTAATGAATTCATATTGACGAGCTCTTCGATTTTGGTGGATGAACCAAATTGAATCAATGACCAAGGAAGAGAACGAGTTCAAGGACAAAAAGGGAATTTTTAAATTTGTCAAAGGATTGGAGGTTGAAGAAGTATGTTTGGGCGCGTGTGGTTGACGCCAGTAAGCGGTTTGATATGCAGGTGAAGGCAAGTGAGCTAGTGTGTTTTTGCCCGTTTGACCCTGATATTCGAGGAGTTAGAGAAGAAATTGGATAACGTTAGGAGCTCATTTGGTTTTAAAAGAAAATACAGACACTTGTAAGTAGTTCTTCGGTTTAGTCCATTTAATTATTACTTATAAGACAAGTATGCTATGAATCAATATTGATATTGTCTTATTCACGTTAGAAAGTAGTCATCGTAATTTAATTGAGACCAAATTAGCATATCAGACACAACAAGGTACTTTTAAGGTTAGCGGGCAATAAAATGCATTTCAGTGTGTTGTTGTATAAGTTTTGCTAGTAGATTCAATATTCTATTTTTATGAGCGTGTTTAGGACACGGTAGTGGTAGAGATGTCCATTTAATCAGTAAATGAAAGGAGCAAAGAAAGATTTTTCATGGCTCTGATATCAAATTGTTGAATACAATTCTATGTAGGAAACACTCGCACTCTTTATTAAAACTAATTGAGAAAAGAATACAAGACACTCGGTAGAATACTATTGTTATTGTTGTTGAGTTTCTTGATTCCTCCAATGATTTGGAAATCACCCATCGTGTTAACTATACCTCAAGAATATCAAACAAACTCTTTCGACACAAGAATTGCAGAGTCAGAAGAAACTCACACACTAATAATCTAAAGAAATCATTTACGATAAATAGAAACAAAGTCGGGATTACCTTTCTTGTTTTCATCCCTAAAATATTAAAATTTAAATTTTTAAAAATTAGATATTTATTATATTTTTTCTTATAAAATATTTTTAAATTTATTATTATTATTATTATTATTTTATGTCAGATGAAACTGGAGAGTGGCCTTGTAAGAACGACAAACTGAGTGGCTAAACCTAGAAATGAACTCGTTGGCGCGGAACATATCGTGCTCCATCAGGTCTTCGATTCACGCCACTGCCTCGCTACATTGCTACCAGCAGCAATGGAGGGGGATCCGAGTGAAGGTACTGAACGGGAATCTTGAACGGGCAATAACATTCTTGCAAAGGAAGATGCAATCGAGCGGAATCGAGAGGCTGATTAAGCGCGAGCAGACTCACCACATCAAGAACTCCGAGAAGCGAGTTTTGGCCCGAAAGAATTTGGAGCGCAAAATTCGATCACAGGACCTTGCTCGCAAGCTTAAAGCCATTCTTATCAAGAAAGTCAGGTATTTGTGGATCCTTCGGAAATCACTTCTACCGTAAATATCTTCGTTCAACAGCTATTGAGTAATCTAAGGATGTATGTGTTTGAATGAATTGTGCATGGATCTTCTTGCTTTGTTTATTTGTTGCTTGCTTATTGTTAGCAATTAGGGACTTCTCGATAATTGAAGAGTGCAAAGAATATCAATCTTCTTTACATTTCTTAGTACAATCAAATGCAACAAGTTTCTACCCGTAGAACTGTAAGAAAATTAGATTTCCTGCCCTAAGCATCAGCAACTTTATTGCTAATGAAAAGATTTGTGTTCTAGAGTAGAGTCAAAATCTGAAGGAAAGATTTGTTGAACATGTAATGAAATTCTTTCTGCAAATTGTTGGGTCGGTAAAATTGGCGATATCAATGATAATCGTCCATCCAGGAAATCCTTTGATGGTCATATATTATAATACATAGCAAATGCATTGCATTTACGTCAAGCTTCAATGGTTATATGTTAGGGTCTTTAGATCTTTAGGTTAAAGAGAATAGAACCAGAGATTTCTAGCATCTTTTAGATCTGCAACAGCTTCTTATTTCCTCAAGTCAAGAGGAGATAACGATCTGGACAAAACTTGAACAGAAAAATATGCATTATTTCCATGAAAGTAGGAAAAATGAGTTTGATTATAACCGCCCAAGCTCACCGCTAGCATATATCGGCTTCTCTGTATTTTCCCTTTCGGCTTTTCCCTCAAGATTTTTAAAATGCATATGTTAGGGAGAGGTTTCCATATCCTTATAAAGAATGTTTCGTTTCCCCCTCCAATCGATGTGGGATCTTATAATCCACCTGCCCCTTCGAGGCCCAACGTTCTCGCTGACACTCGTTTCCCTCTCCAATTGATGTGGAATCTCACAATCCACCCCCTTTGGGGTCTAGCATCCTTGTTGCCACACCGCCCAGTGTCCACTCCCCTTCGGGGCTCAGCGTTCTCGCTAGCACCTCCCAGTGTCTGGCTTTGATACCATAACAGCCAAGTCTATCGCTAGTAGATGTTGTCCTCGTTGGGCTTTCCTCTTAAGATTTTTAAAACGCATCTGCTAGGAAGAGGTTTCCACACCCTTTATAAAGAATGCGTCGTTTCTCTCTCCAACCGATGTGGGATCTTTCATTGATTGAATTAAACGAGGAAATGATTGTAATGAGGTGATATTTTTTTTGTTTTCCCCCTATAATTTCTTTGTATCTTTCTTCTAACTCCAAATTTATCATACGATATGTTGCAGGGGTCTGTGAGCTCGTGACAATAGGTAGGTGGAAAAGAGGGCTCTGCAGTATAGAATTCACATCCATCTTCCTCCTTGGACACGAACTCAGTAGTTACTGATCTCTTTCTTTGAATCTCTTCTTAAACTCCCACTGCCTTTCAACAGTACAATTCAAGTTCCTTTACTCATCTGGAAGGCTCCAATAAGCTGTTTATCGTTCTGTTATTTATTATTTGATCAATTTAGCTGCCTGCTATGTATGGATCCTTGTCTTCCTCCTTGTTCATCTTCCATTCCAAGCAATTTAGTTGGATTCTGTAGAGCTCTACAGTTTGAAGTAGATTAGAAAAATGGCAACCCTGTTGGATGATGAAAGTCCCACATCGGTTAATTTAGGGAATGGTCATGGGTTTATAATCTAAGAATACACTCTCCATTGGTATGAGGCCTTTTGGGAAGCCCAAAGCAAAGCCATGAGAGCTTATGCTCAAAGTGGACAATATCATACCATTGTGGAGAGTCGTGTTCGTCTAACAAACCCTGTAGGCACTCAACTTGTTCCTATCTCATTGTCAGTGATGGATCGCACAGCATGCACATGAAGAGGTTGTCGGTCCTTGAGGTCCACTTTGTTGTTTTAGCTTTAGCTTTGACACATGGAGTATTAATCTTAAACGCATCTGAAAGTATTCAACTAAATTTGGCCTCTTATCTCAAATCGCGCTCCATTTGGTTCGTGAAATTTGTAAACATGGGAATCGAGTTTATTTCATATTTTCACAGATCATGACATTAAATATTGATTTGGGTAAATTATTTAAATTATGCTAATGTTTTTTTTTTTTTTTTTTATAAATTTTGTACCATCGTTCTGATAGTAGTTTATGTTAATACATTTTTTAATTTAACAAAAATAAATTGGCTTCAATGTTCGATGAATGTTATATTGATTAAATTTCTAATATAGTTTATAAATTTTTAATAATCAAATCTGTAACTTCTTAAAATTATTTAACTTTTGTGCATGTTTTTGAACTTTAAAATTAATTAATTTTTTATCGAATTGTTTATGACATTATAAAATTTTAAAAAATTACAGTTTTTTATATATTAAATTATAAATTCTTAAAACTATTTATTAAATAATTAAATTTAATTTACAAAGCCGAACCACCCAACTTATTCAATATGGGCCGGTTCCGGAAATTTTGACGCCAATGGTGCGGCGGGAGCGAGGGACATTGTACAGCGGCTGAACCTTTTACGACCGCCTGTGGCCGCGTGACGACTGACGAGGGACTGACATCCGCAAAGGGGTTTAACAAATTCCAAACTCCCAACCCCATTGTTCCAGTTCCCAGTTCTTCGTTGTTCGCCGCCATTGTTTCTCTCACTGGTGCTTAATGGAGGTTGTGAGACTGCGAATTTTGTTCAAACACAAGGACCTATTGACAGCGTCGCTCTCGGGATTGAGCCGGAGCTGGATTGTCCTTAAATCTCATTTCCGAACTATTTCCGACCTCTCCTCCTACATCCTTTCCGTTTTTCGTCTTCACGATGCTTGCCCCAACGGTCTCATTCTTTCTGTAAGATCTCTTGCTTTGATTGGATTACCTTACTGAACGATTGTTTGTGGATGAAGGTCCTGGAGTGTCTGCTATTGAATTTGCTAGTAGTAGTGTATCATTGGCCTAATGAATTGTCTTTAGAAGTTTACTGTTGAAATTTTCAATTGCTTGTAGAAACGAACATTTGCGCTGGGGAAGGAATGAGTTTCCTCTCATTCTTATCTGATTTTACTTTTCATTGTTTTCACTCTTCATAATGGCGGCAAATTGCCCTAATTTTGGCTTTCTGGTAGATGGATGGCTTTGTGTTACCTCCGTTTGAGTCGGTTGGTATCTTAAAGGATAAGGACATTGTCAGGTTGGTTTGTGAGTGACTTTTGTTTGTGAATTTTCAATTGCTTTTATGTACATTTTTACTGGTAATTAAAAGTTTCTTTGTTGACCAGAGTGAAGAAGAAAAAAAGTACGGCAATCTGTCTCAGTGTTGGTAACAAATTGATCAAAACTGAGGAATTCAGGGAGAGTGGATCAGAGGAAGATGAACTTAAGGCTCCTTTGCCAGTGAAAGCTGCCCCAGTTGAAAAAAAAGTGTCTAAGAAAAGAAAAGCTTCGAAGATAATTCGCAACACAAAGTATGTATATTGCCTGTATCAACTCTGATATTTCTTATGCCTGTTGGAGACTTAGAAATTGGTTTTCTTTTAACAACATTGAGAGAAAATATGATTATCTAGCGTACATTTTGTGTGATGTCCCACATTGGTTGGGAAGGAGAACAAAACACCCTTTATAAGGGTGTGGAAACCTTCCCCTAGCAGGCGTGTTTTAAAGCCTTGAGGAAAAGCCCGAAAGAGAAATCCCAAAGAGGACAATATCGGCTAGCGGTGGATCCGGGGATGTTACAAATGGTATTAGAGCCAGGCAACGGACTATGTGCCAACGAGGAATTTGTTCCCCAAAGGGGGTAGACACGAGACGGTGTGCCAGTAAGGACGCTGGGCCCCAAAGGGCGTGGATTTGGCGGGGTCCCAAATCGATTGGAGAAAGGAAAAAGTGCCAGCGAGGACGTTGGGCCTCGAAGGGGGTGGATTGTAATGTCCCACATTGGTTGAGGAGGAGAACAAAAAACCCTTTATAAGGGTGTGTAAACCTTCCCCTAGCAGACACGCTTTAAAGCCTTGAGAGGAAGCTCGAAAGGAAAAACCCAAAGAGAACAATATCTACTAGCGGTGGATCTGGGGTGTTGCATTTTGTCTGGCTTAGAAGATGGGTACTTGGTCTGCTTGATTCTCCTACTAACAATGTCTATGGAGTTATTATCATTTCTAGCATTACTTCCATGCTTTGATGTTTTTTTAGAACTCTCGTGTTCCATTTTCTTCATAACTGAAGTGTTATACTTTGTTGTCTAACTCCTTTTCTCCTAATGTGCTTATAGATGAATTATTACAACTGGTATATGTACTCGAGTTAATTCCGATTTATCTTTCAGGCTTATAGTTTTTGCAATCAGTTTATTTCTTCTGGTCCTTATTTCTAATTTTAAAATTACAGGAGGAAGAAAAATAATTCTTTCCCTAGTGAAGAATTTCCAACTATCGTAGCAGATGTTCATTACTCTAATGAAATGCATGAAGAAAGAAATCATGTGAAGTCTGACCTCCCACAAAAAGTCATAGGCGGTGAAAATGATTCATCCAGCAGTTCTAGTGCATCTGAATCGGATACATCCAGCAACATTGATATTGATGGAAGAAACAACAATATTATTAAGTCAACTGGGAATGCAAAGAGGTGGTTCCTGCAGCTTTATTATATAATGGCAATGAGCTTTCAATTTTTTTTCTTTTCACATTGATGCCTAATTGTATTGATTAACATAAAATACTTCTGACCTATGGCAACGCAAAACCTCCCAGGCCAACTGAGGAGGGTCGGTAATCTCTCCTTCCTCTCTCTAGGCAATTCTTAAAATGCATAAAACGAAAATAAACGATACTGGAGGTTATATACTACACACTGACCACATCCGCACCCCCCGCCCCACTCCCATCTCAGTGGTCCCCCAGCAATTGCCCACTCTCAAAAACTTGACCCATGCTAACCCGTTGAGTCTGAAATGTCTCTCTTGTCCCTTCTCTGATTAACAGCCACAATCTGTGGCCTAACAGATTTGTCTCATAGATAATGTAACACACTTAAAATGTTTGGACCTCTTTTTTTATTTTTATTTTTTACAATAATGTTGAACCGATTTATTTTTCATCTGCCTGGTTTGTTAGAAAAATGTCTTACAACTCGTGGTTGTTTAGGATTGATCAGATTGGAGTTGGCGGGAAACATATTGAGTTGTCCGACAAAGCTGGTGAAACTCAAAAGGTTTTTATTTATGGGAATTTATTATTACTATCATCATTATAGATATAAGAAATCGTGATTATCTATTAGTAGTTTTTACTATTTTTAATTCTGTTTTTTATTGCACTTGTTCATTATAATTTGTTCGGGATGCAATGATTGTCTGTAATTTGCCTTTGTTATACTCAAGTATTACACCTACAATTATGATACATTTACAGCTGTGCTGGTAGATGTATCAGATCTGATACATTTTGATTTGATGAGAATTTAGAATATTGTTTCTTTGGCTTGCTGTACTTTTTTTGCTATCAAGGTATGAGTCTAGGACGAATGAAGAGATTGAAAAAGAATTTTGACTTTGTTATTTCCTCTTGTTGGAATTTGGCAATATTTTGTAACTAGATCCATCCAAGGATTTTAAATTCTTCTTTCAGAAAATTAGTATTAAAGATTCAATTGTCTTTATCATTTATTCTATTTTGGTTGTTGAATTTTCAGTCATGTACTCTCTCTCTCTCTTTCTTGTGTTCTTTTCTTTTCTTGTCAGGGTCCTAGTAGAAGTTCTCGTTGTAAAAAGGCAAAAAGGCATTGGTTGAGGGAAAGAGCTCAAAATGAGGAGGTATATTGACGCCGTAAATGGCATTGTTTATTGTATCTTGTCATGGGGGTATAAATTCCATCTTTACTTAAAATTTCTACCATGTATCAATTCTTTATTCTATCATTTTGAATGCGTAAAGCTAAAGTTCTACCAGGTCTCATCATACATATATTTCAGTGTTTATGTCCTGAACTGACAAATATGCTCGTGTAAAGTTAGAATTTGCATTGACAAATATGCACATTATTGTATTGAGGTGTGGTCACCTGATTCCTTTATTTTTGTAGCAACAGCAGCTGTTATTGGAAACAAGTATTGATCAAGGACCTAGTCAGAATGATGATGCTGATATGGATGATGACACTGTTCCTGTGGTAGTTAAGCCGGGACATATTCGCTTTGAGCCATTTGGAAAAGGTCTGATGATTTCTTTCTATTTTAGAAACAGTGTGCTTGTGCATTGGTGGGAACAGTATTTTCTGAGGCTCAAAAGGGGTGGGAAAGTGTCTTGCACAGGCTTGCCCGTTGTATTTGTTTGATTTTATATTTTTACAATATGGATCTCACAATTATGAATTCCCTGGTTTCTCTTATATCATTACAGTGGCTGCGGATCAGACTGAAAAACAACCAAAACACTTCCCTATGGTATCCATACTGTTCCATTGTCTTATGCCGCCTCTTGAAGTTCACAGTAGCCAATTATTATTGTTTTGTTATGCTTTAGGAGACATTACACTGGAATGGCATAACCAACAAGAAGGGTCAGAAATGGGGCAAAGAGAAAACTTCATCTTGGAATAGGAACAATTCTAACAATCGTACAGGCGAACCTCTTCAGTTGCCTACTACTGAAGCTGAGCCACATACAATTTCAGCACCTGTAGTTGGTCCCATAAATTTTGATGAACTTGGACCGTGCAGTGGCTTGCCTCAGGTTTGGCTTCCACAGTTTGATTCATCCGCTTGCTTTATTACGTTTTTAGTTGGGCATGAATGGCTTGCAAAGTGGAAGGATCAAGTCATGTTAACAGTTTCCATCAAATTAAATGTTTATCATTTCCCAAGTCTTTAACTTTTTCTTTAGGGCCAATTTCATAAGTCACAAAGTTTATATAGAATTTTATAGAGGCAGCAACAGGTGTTACCTATGTAGTTATAGTATTAATTATTAAATTTATTCTATATATAATTTGTGTTTTACTTATTGCAGAAAGGTGATGTAGTTGCATATCGTTTGATTGAGTTATCATCAACCTGGACACCTGAGATTTCCTCCTTCCGAGTAAAATTCGTCTTCACTGAAATTTCCTGTCAGATTCCCTATTTCCACAGCCTGTATGTTATTCTATTTCTTTTTCTTGTTTCAGGCTGGTAAAGTATCATGGTACGACATTGAATCCAATCGAATTATGCTAAATCCAGTTCCAGAATACCCATTACCTGTTAAAAAGGAGATGGACGAGGATTCTGCATTACACTTAGATTCAACCCCATATGGTGAAAATGGCTCTTTAAAGGTATTAGTGCCAAGCAGTCTTTGGTTTGCCATCATCCAAATCATTTTTTCTCTCCAATTTGTCACATAGTAAAGTTATTTTATGTATATATATATATGTATATATGTATATGTATATATGTATATGTGTATATATATATAATATACAAGAACTACCGGACTATAGTTTATGTTCACCTGTTTTCTTTGTAAGCTATATTATAGTTATCTATAGGAACTACTAATTGATACACATACATGCCTAATCTGTTGCTTATCCTTGATTACAACGAACTGATAAATAGAGGTCTTCAACAGATAGATTTTGCCTCTCTTGTTGATCTTCGGCTTATCAGGCAAGGAAGCTTGGATTCTTCAAAAACTATGGTTAACCAGGAAAACACTTCTGCTAAACAAAGTGCAGAAAGTTCCAAATTCGCCCATGGCATTGGAAATGCCAACGACACTAAACAAGGTATCCATTATAGTTTGTAGCCATAGTAGGATTAGTTTACTGGGAGCTGGTTACGTTTAATGGGCTTATTTTATAATTGGTCTTCAGGTAATGGAAAAGTAAGTGCGTGGGATGAAATCAGCGAGGCTCTGAGTGCAAAGAAAGCGGAACTTTCTAAGAATGATGGTTGGAATCGAGAAGAAAGTTCAGGAAGGAGGCCAGATGGTAGGAATCAAGAAGAAAGTTCAGGAAAGAGATCAAGGTCCTGTAGGGCACTCAGAGGCAGCGCCCTTGGTCCAACAGTGGGTCTATTAAGAGCTCGTAACGAAATCTAAGAAAAATCTCCTGGGTCCAAACATTTTCCCTGTATTTTTGATGCTCAGAAGTCAGAAGACACGCTCTTGTATAGTTTGGAATCTGCAGGTGTTAATTTACTGTGATGGTGCTGCCTTCTACCGTCAAGCTCAGACTCGTTAGTGAACTTCGGTTATGGCATTTTTTGGTTGGAATTAGGTGACAATAGGATTGCATGCCAGACCAACTAGACGTCCTGCACTGCCAAATCTATGTAAGCTGTTGATGATGGAGCTTCCAAGGATGTTATCTGTAGTTTTGTCACAATGGAAAGCATCTCTCTCAAATTATAAATGCATGGGAATTTCGGTAGCTCCAACATTTATATCTCGTGAAACTATTTAAATATTCTAATTAGAAATTTATCTTATTCAGTGTTTAAAAAATAGCATCTGAAATTTTCCCTCGACAACAAAGGGAACTAATCGCAAGTCTAATTGAATTTTTTAATCTAACTTCTACTTTCTTCAAAAGCAGGTGAAATCACTGATTACTCTGTAAAACTCAGACTATTGATGGCGTTTTTTTCTATACATGATCTCTGGAGGATTGGATTCTCTACGTATATATATACATCTCACAAGCAGCTCACATCAGTTCTGCCGTGGATGCCAGTTTACCTTTTGGAAGGCCTTCCGCTACAGTCCATCAAGTCTTCACCGACCACAGATCAACACATTCTGTTTTTTGAGGTAATGAATTGCTTATATGTGCAAGGAACTTCTCTGGCTCCTCTCCTTCTCTTATTATCTGCACACATAGGATACTCCACAAAATGAGCTAAGGTACATACTTTCAAAATAACATCAAAAGCAAAACTGTTCAAAACATGGAATTTGAGAGTTAAATGACGATTAATCTACTAAGCTCATGTTGAATGATATGGCTACTAGTATAGAAATCCCAATATTTAGCAAGTCATGTAGAGGTTTTAGGTGTCACCCTCCAAGTTGCCTTCTATTGTGAGTTATACAAATAGATGGACTTGCTTTACTAGCAAATAAAACAGAGAAAGGATGTGTCATTAGAAATTTACTATAAGCATGTAATATACACTTTTGAGATCCTCTGTTTCTAGGAAAACATTTTCCTCTCAGAAATAACATATAAGATTGTCTCCCATTAGCTACTCAGTCTAGCATGTTGAGCACACTATTTTCTCCATGAGAAAAGAACTTCTGAAATAATTGTTTACGTACCTCTATTTGGGTATCTCTAGGAATTCCCTTATTATTAATGAATATATGTCCGATCATCTCCCAGTGAAGATGTCCATCTTCATTGTCGTCGCTCATTAGTTGACCATCATCGTTTTTATGCAAAACTTTACTCCCCAGCCAGATAAATAAGTTGTTATAGCCGTTTGAATCCAAATTTGTATCTGGAGCAAACAATATATACACTGATCTAGAATTGAGATTCCCGAATTGATTGATCTCCACTGTATTCATTGAAGGCCACTGGTAAAAGATTGGAGTTTCTGCTTCTGCAAACTTGTATTCTAATTCAGTGCAAGCCCCAAATCTATCAATGTCCAAATTTATATCTTTACTACTGCTTTTATTCTTGGATTGGCTGCACCCTGCTATCTCCAATGCATCGTCGTCTAAGTTGAGCAAAGAAAATGATGATGACCGAACTATTTTCCTCTGAACCTTGCAGGCTTCTTCAATGGAAGGCAGCAACATCCCAGGTGGAGGATGACTCCCTCGACGCTCTGCAATTGAAGGGGAGGCTCCTCTTGATTTCAAATTCGTGTTTCCTGCCCTTAACATGGGATAAGAGGGAAAGGACTCTACAAAGATAGGATGAGTTTCTTTGTGGTGTAAACAAAAATTATCTATGATGGAAGAGTTTTTAACAGCTGGATGTACTGAATCCATGTCGGATGGTGATGGTTGCCGAGAAGACATATAAGATAAGTCGGACCAATTAGACGATGATGGTGAAAAGGTAAATGAACTCGAGTTATCAGATGTAGAAGGAGAGAGTGAAGGGGATTTGGTGCCGAACTTTGGACTAGGCCCTCCTTGAAAACTCGAAAATGAATCGGGTGATCCCAGAGGATGAATCGGTAACGATAAAGGATCGTCTGGGATCGATCTAGCCTTCGAATTTTCTACTTCCTGATCCAAGCTACCAGCTGGAAAACAGTCAAAAGATTCAGGTGAGTCACACAAATAGGCTGTGGGTGAAAGTGGTGGAGATGCAAGGTCAATTGAAGAAACAGGTGCATTTGGATCTTCATCAATATTTGCAGTCGTCATGTCCATATCATCAAATGCTCCTTTAGTATCACAATCCAATTCTGAAAAGGATGTCGCAATATCTTCTGTAGTTTCGTTTTCGATCTTCCTTTTGGTCTTGTCCCACCCATTTTGTCTAACGGGAAGGTAATTTTCCGAATCGGTATTAGATATATCGAAAGGTGGAACAACCCCACCCGAAATCGCCCTGTGAAAAATTTCGAAATCTGGATTATACTCCTCAACCTTCTTCCGAACTTGCCCTTTGGAATTATCAGCCAAATTTTGGCCATCCATCAAAGCTTTCCAAAATCCCAATGGTTCATCACCTTCTTTGATGCTAAGTATGGGGCCTTTTGCCTTTTCGTATCGAATGATCTGCGACGCTGCTGTCTTAGCCGAGTTCAACATCACAGAGTCGCACTTCTCCCCCTCCCAGACATAGACAGCTGAAGGAACGTGCACGACAAATGCCCCACGAGAATCAAGCCCTTGAACAGTCGGAGTGTTCAACATCTTAGGTACAAGATGAAGTGGATCATAAGATGAATGAGGAGCCATCCTATACATCCTCAAAGTCGAATCCGGGCTAGCAGGCAGGGCATGTACTCGCTTCTGGCACTGCAATAATTGACAAGCAAACCCCAAGTTCGGATTAGCCACCCCTCGAGCAGCTTTTACCGATTGAAGAGCATCCTGAAAGCTCCGACCTTCCTTCCACATAAGGTATGCTATTACAAGAGAAGTCGACCGAGATACTCCTTGAAAACAATGCACGAAAACCCGACCACCGTGCTCACAAACATCTTCAAAGTAATCAAATACATCATAGAGAATGCTAGTAATATCCTCTGAAGGAGTATCTTTCAACCAAAGAGTTTTGTAAACAAATTCACCCTTGAAATACTCAGGACACACAAACCCAACACAATTCAACACATGAGTGATCCCATTCTGCCTCAAAACCTCTCGATTCTTAGCCACAGAATCACTCCCTAAGTACACATGATCAAGAATTTTGGAGCATTTCTTATCAAAAAACGCAAGTTTATCCTTCTTAAACTCAAATTCCGTCGTAGGCTTATTATCAACAACCTCTCTCGGAGTTTCTGGGTTTGGCCAAACGCCAAGATCATCACAACCCGCCGGTGGCCACTCCTCAACATTCCGGCGACTGATTGAAAGTGGCTGCAACGGTGGCAAACATAACCGAGCTTTATTACTATTAGACACTAAGCTCCGATTATCACGGGGCTTCGACGGTGACCGGTCCGACCACGAAACTGACCGGAAAAACATGTTACGAGTACAACCGGCCACCCTCTTTTCATCCATCTCAAAAACTCTATAATACCCACTTAGCTCGTATCCATTTGAGGCTTATTCCTAGAGAAATTAGGGACAGAACAAGAACAATCGCCCACTTTCTCTCTCTAGAACTGTTGAATTCGCTGCCCAGATAGTCAAATGGAGAGAAGCAAAATCAAGATTCGACCCAGTTCATCAAATTCCACGACGAGCAATTCCTGGACAATAATTGAAAATCAAACAGACAATTTTCGAATGGAACAGGAAAAAACATGAAGGAAACTGGATGACTTACTTGAAGAATCGAAAAACCTTGGGGCTTCGAATAGAAAAGTTGCAGAGCTTTGACACTTAGAGCAAACAAAACCAGAAATTGACGTCTTAGAAGCACAAATTGGACCAAGCCAATGGCAAGAAATTGCTTTGGCTTTGTAGAGAGAGAAAGAGGGGAGAGAGAGAGAGAGAGTCAAACCGCCACGTCGGTGTTGGATGGTCAGACAATGCATGCATGTCAAGTCTTGTGATGCCATTTATTATTGTTTTTATTTATTTATATAAAAAAAAAAACAAAAAAAAAACGAAAGAGAACAAATAAATAATAATGGAACTATTAATCAAGAAATTCAATACGTGAGGGAGCTACACTATGTTTACCCGGCTCTTCAGGTTTCCCTTTTTGACCCCTACACGTGGCAGATTCTAGTTGGTGGTCAAGATTGTTTACCAACCTCTACTTGACGGTTGCTTTGACAGAAAAAAACATGGTTGGTAATTTAATCTCTCTATTTTTTCTTATTTTTGTATAATTTTTTTTTCATGTGAATTAAATTATTTAATTTTAAAGAAACTTTTCCTTATATAAATACCTAATTTTGTAACAAGACGTTTGTATAAAGTTGTTAAGGATATTTAGTAATAAATTATAGTTTACCATATATATTATATTTGATATTTTATTATAAGGCAAATATCTAATATTTGCCTTATTATCATAGGTATCTTTCCATTTATTGTTATTTTCATTTATTACTATTTTCATATCCTTGTAATTTATTTGATTATAAATAAGATAACTTTCACACCATTTAGGTGTGGTGGATTAATCAAACATTCACAAAAGTCTACTGTTTTTGCACGAAGAAATATCTTTATGCTAAATTGTGTATTACATTTATAGTATTTTAAATTAACAAAAATTAAAATACAAAATAAAAAATAATTAATAGCATTTCACACGTCATCTTCAAAAAAGTACCCAATATTTTATTTTTGTCAAAATTTGAAATTCAATGATATCTAAGAATGGAATTATTTTATTATATCATATAGAAAATTTCTATGGATTTCGTAACCTAATTACTGTCACAGATATTTTTTGGGAAATAGATAAAAAATAAAATAAATTAAATTAAATAATATAATGATTTTGAATAATGGGTCTCATAGAAAGTTTGGTTAATAATATAATATTAGGAGACAGTTAATTTTTTTTTTGGTTTTTTTAATTATAATTATTTTTTACAACGTTTTGGATAAATTTTTTAGAAATAATTATTTTATTTTAATAATTCAGCTGTAATTGATATGTACTATTTTATCGTAAGATTTAATTATATTTATTGAACTTTACGATAAAAAATAAATAAATTTTTATATAATAATTTATTACCATTCTTTTTAATTGAATGGAAAATATGAGATGATGACGTGTATAAGATGCCAAATATTAAATATTTAAAGAAAATTTTGTTTGACCAAACAAATAATTGGAATTTATTAATCTAATTTCATAATTTTTCCATTTTTGGAAAACCATAATAATAATAGATGCTTTGACAATGTAATCCTAGAGATGGAATAGAAATTACCTAACTATCCTTGGTTGATGGTTGTGAGGTAGGGGTATTTTTGTACTTTGATCAACTTTGACCGTGTTCGTAAAATCTACTTGAATATTAAAATAGTTGGGCCCTAAATGGGCCGTTTGAGGAGACATTGGGCCCAAATGATGTTGGGCCATGTACGGGGAGAATCCGGCCCAGACAGATAAAAACAATAGCAAGTGGGAATGTAGTGGGAGCTTGAATGCTACAGTAGCCATTGTTGTAATGCAAAGGGACAAAAGGAGGCCCACTGATCTATACACAATAGTGCTTTTGTTTAGGAAGATCTCTCGTAATCAATAAGTCTACCACTAGCAGATATTGTCCGCTTTGACCTATTACGTGTCAGAAAGAAGTTTTTACATCCTTTTAAGGAATGTTTCGTTCTCCTCTTCAATCCATTTCTCTTAGACGCCCCATGTCCTCAGTAGCACACAACTCCCGTGTTTGACTTTGATATCATTTGTAACAGCTTAAAACCATTACTAGTAGATATTGTCTGCTTTGATCCACTACGTAACACCATCAGCTTCATTGTTTTAAAACACGTTTGCTAGGGAGAGAATTCTGCACCTTTATAAAGAATGTTTCGTTTTCCTCCTCAACCGTTTGAGATCTTACAATCCACCCCTCTTAGACGTCCAACGTCCTTGCTAGCACACTGCCCTCGTGTTTTGCTCTGATACTATTTGTAACAGTTCAATATCATCGCTAGTAGATATTGTCCGTTTTGGCCTGTTACATAATGTTGTCAATCTCACAATTTTAGAACACGTTTGTTAGGGAGAGGATTTCACACCTTATAAGGAATACTTCGTTCTTCTCTCTAATTGATGTTGAATCTCACAAACCCAATAACTTCTACGAAGAATTTGGCACAAAGGAGGCTCGAGAATTTTTATAAGGCAAGGGCTTATGAATGGTGGTAAATAAAAGGCGTTTTCTGGTCTCCTTGAGTCAGATGGTACTTTTGTGGGTCGAATTGACTTCGGTGTAATCTCTTTAACGTTTTATTTTATACTTTTAAACATGATTTTTTAAATCATTAAAATTAATTCAAAATGTATTAAATAAATACTTAAAAAATAATTTTAAAATTTTAAAATTTTAAAATTACTTCCGTAACAAATATTAATAAATAGAATATATCAAAATGACGTCCGAAAAATTTGGAGCCCATTGATCGACTACAATCCACAAAGATGAATTGGGCCCCCAAAGTTGGAGCCCATTGTTTAAACTTATTGGGCCTGAAAAGCTGAGTCCATTATAATCCACCAAAACGAATTGGGCCTCCGAATAAAGGCCCATTCTTTGTGAATGTCAATCGCTCAAGCACTTCCCCAAAGCTGCTACTCCGCCATCGCCAAGTTCCTTCGCCATCGTTCAACTGAGCGTTCATCTCTCTTTCACAACGGTCAAACAGTTTCGAGCTTCTGCAAATTCGGCTCCAATGGATACTTGTGAATGCTTCAGCATTGTCTTGCTTTAGCATTCCGACTGACATGCATTGATATGTATCACAGCGTAAACCGCCTCGTCTTTCGAGCTAGTATCACCAAGTGTGTCAAGGTTGGTTTAATTGATGAAGCTATCAGGATATTCGATGAAATGACTCAATCGAATTGCCCTGTAACGAGCAGAGACTACAATCGCTTTATTGGAGTTCTGATTAGCCGCTCGCGTTTCGATTTGGCCGAAAGTTATTACTCGAGAATGATACCTCAAGGTTTTTCTCTTACGCCATTTACTTACTCTAGGTTCATTTCTGCTTTGTGTGAAGTTAAGAATTTCGGCCTCATAGCTAGGCTGTTAGAAGATATGAATAAGCTTGGCTATATTCCTGACATCTGGGCTTTTAATATATATTTGAATCTCTTATTCCGTGAAAACTTTTTAGAATTGGCTTTAGAGTTTTTTAACGAAATGGTTTCGAAAGGAAGGGAACCTGATGTTGTAACATACACCATAATAGTTGATAGATTGTGCAAAGCCAAGCAATATGGCCAAGCTGTGGAGTTTTGGCGTTTTATGGTTCAGAAGGGGATTAGTCCAGACATGAAAGCCTGTACGGCTCTTGTTGTTGGGCTCTGCGATGGTGGGAAAGTTGATTTAGCATATGAACTTATGGTTGGTAAAATGAAGGGTCAGACGAAGTTCAACAATTTGATTTATAATTCTCTGATTAGTGGGTTTTGTAAAGCTGGGAGGATCTCTAAGGCACTGGCCCTCAAGTCATTTATGAGTAATAATGGTTGTGAGCCAGATTTGGTTACCTACAATATTTTGCTGAATTTTTTTTGCGATGGGCTTATGTTGGAGGATGCAGGGGAGTCGATGAAGAAGATGGAGAGGATAGGAATGGAGCCTGATGTGTACAGTTACAACCAACTTCTTAAGGGTCTTTGCAAGGCTAATCGGCTGGATAAAGCATATAGATTGATGAATAAAATGTGGGAGAAAGGGTTGTGTGACACTGTTTCATACAACACTTTGATAAGTGCACTATGCAAAGCATTGGCAACTAGAAAGGCATACAAGCTATTTGAGGAAATGGGCCAGAAAGGTATTGCTCCAGATGTGGGAACATTTGCAACTCTTATAAAAGCTTTTCTTAGAGAAGGAAGCTCCCATATAGCTAAGAGACTTCTTCATAAGATGACCGAGACAATTCTGTTACCTGATCACATATTTTATACAACGGTCATAGATTACCTTTGTAAGACGGGGAAGATTGAGATGGCTCAAGGCGTCTTTCATGACATGATAGAGATAGGAATCTCCCCTGATGTGGTTTCATATAATGCTCTTATAAATGGGCTTTGCAAGGCCTTTAAAGTTCATGAGGCCATGTTACTGTATGAAGAAATGCAAATGAGAGGATGCTATCCTGACGAGGTAACTTTCAAACTGATAATTGGAGGACTTTTACGAGAAAAGAATCTTCCTTTAGCTTGTCAGGTCTGGGATCAGATGATGGAGAAGGGCTATACGCTTGACAGATTTCTATCCGAGGCTCTTATCAATGCCATTCAGTCGAGGGATGCTGGTTAACCATGGAACTAGGTTGTACTCTATCCTTCCTTTATATTTTCCTTGTCTTAGTTGCCATGTCTTAAAAGTAGCTCCCAATTCTTAAATACTATGTTGCCTGATTCTATGTGTATTGACGTGATAAAAACTTGATGACGGTTATCAAATTTTTGTGTGATCTAATTCGTGACCGTTATCAAGTATATGGAGCCATGGCTGTCTTTCTTTTGCCTGAACGTTCTTTCATCCATACAAATTTCATATGCCTAGTGGTTTGTTGAGACATTGGCATGGGGGATGCATAATTGACTTCACCCTTATGATGTTGGTATTGATAGAGAAATTGATACGTGAAGGGTATCCCCTTAATTTCTGTCCTTTATTCAAGGAACTTAATGGCTTAATAATTTGCTGAACTTGCGAGCTTTTCTAGAACTCCATCCTATGTTAGAGTCGCCAGTTTTTTTTTCCTTAATCTTAACCTTTTTTTGTGTTCTTCTTAACATATCCTTGTATGTAATCCTAATCAGCTAAGAGCATCATTACCCTTTTCCCCAGTCTACATTTACTTAATTGGTCGTATTTGGAATGAAGATAAGTGAACTTGTGAGAAACTGAATGTTTTCTCCCTTATCTTTGAATGCTACTGAAACAAACTTTTGAGTAGAACAATGATGCGAGATTTGACTCGGTTAAGTAATTATTTGTGCAGGAAACAAATAAGCCTCTTAAAGATATAAATCACATTTTGATACGACTGTTCATCCGTGGGATCCCTGGAAGATCCTTTGGCAATTGCGAGGTTAGCCACTTTATTTTCTTCCATATGCACTCTAATCTTGTATTTCTAAAATCAGTGGGGCATTTTTCCGCTATCAAGGTGCATATTTCACGTTCATCAAAGCATAGTCAATATGGAATCTGAAGTTTGTATGTAATAATAAAAGATTCAATCTTTCTTTCTTGGAGGCTTGGACCAGCTCTTTGACTTCTGGTGCTCCATTCCGTGTTTGCATACATATACATCCATCTAATCCATTGGAGTTTTCAAGAGGGATTTGGTTATAATTGTACAATAGACATGGAGGCGCTTAGCTTTCCAGGCATTGCACCTGTCTTGGAGAAATTTCCCTTCTGATACAGTGTCCAAATTTCTTATACGACCCTATCTTCGGATCGTGCTCATTGCAAAAGTCAGGTATTGTCGTTGCTATTCATTAGATTGAAGCTTTGTTATTCCATTCACGATCATATGGAGGAGGAACTCCCGATCATATCACTAGTGTTTCTGTGCCTAGCTAATGAAAAATCAAATGTCTGAAAGAAATATTTCAAATGCATCTTGCAGAATCACATCTCCAAAAAAAAAAAAGAAAAAAAGAAAAAAAGAAAAAAAATTGATCTAAGTCTTCCTCTGCCTTCCGAGAATACAACAAAATGGGTCAACTAACCATGACATTTTTTCTCGCGAGTCGATCGATAGTATTAGCTCGGCCATGTAAAACTTGCCATATAAATATCTTCACTTTCCTCAGAATCCTAACTCTCCATAGAGAAGGAAAAACCTTCTCACATAAGGATTCTACAAGCTACAAAAATGGATTTGCAAGAAAAACCCTCCATTGGGTTGGGAGGACTCTACACTTAGAACATCCTTTTTCCCAAAGCTTAAAACGACCTCTCCAAGAAAGACCAAGAGAGAGACAACTTCTGTTGCTTCCCTATTGGTCTAAGAGTGACAAAACTCGAACGAAATGGAAATTGAGCTCCCCTACTAAACCAAAAATTCAGACACCTCACGATTTTGGATGGAAGACAAATGATAGAGACGAGGGAACACCCATTGATCTTACCACAAATATGTTTCCTTCTCCCCACCACTCAATGAACCAAATGAGAGAAAGATGGGAGCTCAAACAAGATAGCCCTCCATAGATTCCAGTAACTGCCTTTAACCCCACTCGACAACCATTCAAGGACCAAATTGCTTGCAATAATCCTGAGCCAGATAGATCGGGTTCAAGAGTGAAATGCAAAAGCCATTTTGCTAACAAAGCTTTGTTATGAGTCCTTAAACTTTTTATTTCTAAACTCTCGAAGTAAACCGACTTCTCAATGACCTCCCACCTAACCAAGTGTGACCCTTTTCCTTCTTCCACCTCTTCCCAAAGGAAACTACATATAAGCTTCTCAATATTCTTACAAACCATGTATGGAGCTCTAAAAAGGGAGAAATGAAGCTTGCTAGATTGAAACTTGTTGAACAAAACCTTATACTTCTTAGATTGAAGCTTGTTGAACACAAAACATCATCACTTCGTCGATATGAAATGTATGTCTGTGATCTCATATTATGGATTACATTATTTAGTTACATAATGGAAGGAGCATTCTATTTGTAGAAGGTTGCACTTAGTCTAATATATATATATATACTGTAGAAGGTTGCATGGTCATGTCTGTATCTGTCTGATGTGAACATGATGCTGTTGTACCATTTTCCCTCGGGTTATTCTCACTGCTATGTTTTTTTTTTCTTTTTCACAAAAACAAAAGGTCTAGCTTGTAATATATTGTCTCTTATTTATTTATTTTCCTTCTAAACTAGGACTAGGAAGCCCTGCTTAGCATCGAAAACTACCGGGATCGAGGATTGTATTTCTCATCACATTGATGGCATAAGAACGAACACGTTCAAGGCAATGTGAGTTTGTGTAATTTTAGTTAGCCAAAATTTTGCACGAAAAGTTGATGTGTGTTAATATACGCTAGAGTTGTTCATAAACTGTCTAGATATCATGTAACTGCAATAAAAATCCATGGATTTGCAAAAGACAGAGTGGTGAATCACAGGAAAGATAGAAGTCCAATTGAGAAAGTTGGATTCAATATAGAGATACCTTGCCCTCGCTTCAATTTGCAGAAGAAAAATAAAATAAAATGAATAAATAGACTCTTCCAGGTTCATTGGTGATTATTTTAAATGATGAAATTTCATCTTTTTGTCAGAATTGTTTTTTTTTTTCAAAAACATTTTTTCTTTTCTTTCTTTATTTAATCTTTTGATTAATTGACCGAAAACATATGTTTTAGGAAGTTCGTCTTAAGAGTCTCCAAAAATAAAATTCATTAACTTTGAAAAAATTTTGTGAATTAAACTAATAAATTAATTTAAATAATATGTTTTTGGCTAGTATACAATTATTTATACAATGTTTATTTTATTTTTATTTAATTTCTAATAATTCTTAAACAAAATTTTAATTATTTGAAGGATATATTATAAAAAAATTTATTTAAATGGAAGGGTAAATCTTAACTAAAGATGAATATTTTAATTTAATAAAAATAAACCATTCAAACAATCCAAATCAATAAAACTTTTAAAAAAAATAGAATATTTTCCCTCATCTTATGATCCATCTCTTAGGAACTTGTGTCCTCGCTTTCACACCGATCGATGTCTGATTTTTCATCTTCAACTTGTGGGATTTCATGATCCACCTCTTAGAAGCTCGTGTCCTCGCCATCACACCGATTGATGTTTGACTTTGATATCATTTGTAACAGTCTAAGCCCATCGCTAGCAGATATTGTCCACTTTAGTCTGTTATGTATTGCCGAGCCTCACAATTTTAAAACGTATCAGTTAGGATACTTTGTACCCTTCTTCAACCAACGGGAGATCTCACAACGAATTGTTTGGATTGAAAAATTTATAACTAAAACAATTAGATTGAGTTTAAAGGCCATTATCTATCGAACCCAACCTACAAACACCCTTATTAAGTCTAGCACATAACTCAAATTACACCATCAAAATCGTTATAATTCAACTCAAAACTGGACTTATACACCAAAGTTGGCAATTATCTTCATCTTCTTTGTTAAAACATGCAAGATAGAAAAGTATATAATCCTGGATCCAATGATTATAAAACCCATGGCAATGTTCTCTACTTGGAGTGTAACTAAACCCAGTAAGCGTAAAGGCATATGCCCCTAAAAATCACAACTTTGCCTCAGATTCTCTGCTTGTGTTTGATACTTTCCCTTTCCACAAATCATTCTTGAAGTTGAATTCAAGTCATTCTCTAACCAAAATCAAAGCTTCTTATGGGCTTAACATCAATCCCTCACTCATCATCTCCATCCCCTCCTCTTCCCCTACTCCTCCTCTCCTTCCCATCATGCACCACCCTGAAACCAACCCTCATTTCCACCGCCCATTGCAGCCTGACCGCCGTCCTCAGCCGCCTCAAGACCCTTCTCTTCCACCACAGCCCCATCCCAACCCATATTCCGACCCAACCACTCCATTTCCGCCGCCGTCCTCAGCGTCCTCAGCCCAACCTGCTAGTGGCAAGACACCACGTTCAAAGAAAAATCGTCAAAACATATATCCACCGCCGCCACAATCCGGCCAAGGATCACAATCTCAAACACAAGACCCACCTGAGAAAGCGCCACGATTGAAACGGCACCATCAAATTCCATATGCAGAGGCGGCCACAAAGTTACCGGAGCAAAATGTGCATCAATCACGTCCTAGAGTGCAAATTCAAGACCCATCTGATTCACAAGAGCCCCATCCCCATCACCGTCGAAGAGATGATGGAGATGATCACAACAGACGAAATCAGCAGAACATTCTTCATATGCCATTGCCCCGCCAAACCAATCCACTAATGTGGTTTGGTGCAGTTTTTTGTGCAATCTTTTGGGTGCTTGTAATTGTTGGAGGCTTAGTAATCCTCATTGTTTACCTCATTTTTCGTCCCAAAAGCCCACGGTTTGATGTAGCCGCTGCCAATCTAAACGCAGCATATCTCGACATGGGGTATCTGCTAAACGCAGATGTTAATCTGCTAGCAAATTTCACAAATCCAAACAAGAAAGTTAGTGTGGATTTCAGTTCAATGATCTTGGATCTTTACTATGGGAACACACTGATTGCTACCAGATTCATAGCTCCTTTCTCAGCATCCAAACAAGGATCCCATTTGGTGAATGTTCATATGGTGTCCAGTCAGGTAAGGCTACCCATTTTAGAGAGTTTAAGGCTGCAGAAGCAAATTGAAAATAATGGGATAAAGCTTGAATTAAGAGGGATTTTCAGGGCCAGGTCCAACTTTGGTTCTCTGCTGAGATACTCTTATTGGCTACACAGTTATTGCACTTTGATTATTGGTGGCCCTCCTGGTGGGGTTCTTCTCAGAATTAAATGTAAGACAAAACATTGAGAATTCATCTAAAGAAGTGTTATGATTTGGGTCTGATTGTCTCATAGAGTTTGTTTTGATTTTTTGTTCTTTCTTTCTTCTTGAGTCATCTGGATATGAAGGATTTGCATAAGTTTTCTGGCTTCTTGGGGGAACAAATGGCATTAACATAGCTGAATTCTGGCTAAATTCTGTTTGTATTTGGTTTCCTGGGGATGAAATGTAACAAAGACTTAGCATTCTGAGATTTTTTTGACAATGCCTTTCATGAAAATAAGGAACACCAAGAACATGCTTGGTTTCTACAGGGAAGGAAGAAGACGTAAAAACAAATAAATCTCAAGAGAAAGAACTAGAAATATCTAAAATATTTTAACTCTAATAAGAGCTCAGATAAACATGTTTTGGTTAAGGCTGTAAGGATCTTATGCCTCTAAATAGGACGTGTGCCTCCTAAAGTTAGTAAAGTTAGTATTGAGAGAGTGAAAAAGAGTATTTTCTCACAAAGTATTTTCTCACAAAGTATTTTCTTAACAAAGGTTTCTTTCTTCCAAGTATTTGCCCCTTTTCTTTTGTGCCAATTTTTTCAACAAAATTTGTAACTTGATCAGACATCGTGAAGCTGACAACGATATGTAACAGGACAAAACTATCAATATCTGTTAGCAGTGGGCTTGGGTTGTTACAAATGATATCAGAGCGGGCTTGGGTGGTTACAAATGATACCAGAGCTAGACACCAAGCGGTGTGCCAACGAGGATACTGGACCCTTAAGAGAGTAGATTATGAGATCCCATGTCAGTAGACGCATTTTAAAATCGTGAAACTAACAATTATACGTAATGAGCCAAAGCTACTAACGGTAAGCTTGAGCTAGTACACTTGAACTATATTCTAACCTATCCCAAGATGTCCATGAATATGGAATGCCAAAGATCACATGTTATTTCAATTAACATGTAAACTAATCATAAAAACTAAACAAATACAACTATCGAAATTCTACCAAGTTGTAGTTCATCAGACTCAAGTTCTATAGAATAATTACAGGCTATTTGGCAGCAAAATTTATTCATAAGTCGAGCTAAACTTAGTAGCCAACTGGTATTAGTTTAAGAGGCGATTTCTTTGAAACTGTTAGACCAGCATCCTCTTCCATGTCTACATCCTTCATCCCATTTGGCAATTTCCAATCAAAAAGTAGCAATAGATTAGCCAATGCCAGTTCCATTGTAACTATTCCCATGTTCATCCCAGGACAGATTCTCCGACCCGCTCCAAATGGTAAATACTCAAAATTTTGCCCTTTGTAGTCAATCATGCTTCCTATAAATCTCTCAGGCAAGAATTCTTCTGGGTTTGTCCAGTAGTCCAGGTCTCGTCCAATAGCCCATACATTGACATAAAGATGAGCCTTGGGATCAATGTCGTAACCATTGAGCTTGAAATGGGACAAGGTTTCTCTTGGAAGGAGAAGTGGGGCAGGTGCATGCAACCTTAGAACCTCTTTCACCGCCATTTTTAGATATTGAAGTTTTTCGAGGTCGTTCTCCTTCACTTGATTTTCTTTTATGCTGTTCTTATCTCATCTTGTAGCTTCTTCATTACCCGTGGATTCCTACTAGCGATGTCATTGCCCAAATAATGGTGCCTGCCCCTGGGTTTACTCCGGCTATAAATATATCCTAATTAAAGCAGAAGTACCCCAAAGAAACAAAGAAGAGCATGTTAATAATGTCTTCCAAATCCACCCCTAACCGATATTGTCCTCTTTGGGCTTTCCCCTCAAAGTTTTTAAAACGCGTTTGCTAGGAAGAAGTTTTCACACCCTTATAAAGGGTGTTTCGTTTTCCTCCCCAACCAATATGAGATCTCACAATCCATCCCCTTCAGGGTCCAGCGTCCTCGCTAGCACTCGTTCCTTTCTCCAATCAATGTGGGACCCCACCGAATCCACCTCTCTTTGGGGCTCAACGTCCTTACTGGCACACCGCCTCATGTCTACCCCCTTTCGGGAAACAACCTCCTCACTGGCACATCGCTTGGTGTTTGGCTTTGATACCATTTGTAATGGCCCAAGCCAACCGCTAGCAGGTATTGTTCTCTTTAGGTTTCCCTTTCGGGCTTCACCTCAAGGTTTTTAAAACACGTCTGCTAAGGAGAGATTTCCACACTCTTATAAAGAGTGTTTCGCTCTTCTCCCCAACCGATATGGGATCTCACAAATAAGTTTGGAAAACTGAAGTGGTGAACTTACTTGAACTTAGAAAAGGTAAAAGAAAAGTGGTTAGAGCTTACCATGATAAGTGCCTTGATGCAATCTCTAGTGAGTTGTAGGGCATTAGGTTTAGAGCAATCTCTCTCCATTTGCAACAAAACATCAACAATATTTTCTTCATTCTGAGAAGTTGCTTTGAAGTTGATGTGGTCGTCAACTACTTGTTGGAGAAAAGCATCCAACTCAGCAAAGCTCTTCTCCAGCCTCCCACTAACCCCACTGAGTCGATCAATGACCCAACCCACATTAGGAAAGAAGTCAGTCATTGAGAAGCTTCCCAATGCTGCGATTTCTCTACGGATAGCTTGGTGAAAGT